ACCCAAGAGGCCACTGTTTCATTGAACGACACATCCAGACTGTGAAGAGAATCCTGTCCAAGTGTCGCGAATCAGGAGACGACCCAAACCTAGCCCTCCTGTGTCTTCGCACAACCAAAGGCTTGATTTTATAAACCAAAAGTAAAATAGAAAGTGAAATCAAAGCAAACCAACAAACCAAATTAATACACCACAATTAAAGGAATCAAAACAACTTAAAGTGGACTCTAGAAAAAAAACACCCAAAAACATTTGGACTCTTAATTTTGAAATCAAGTAATTCAAGAGAAAGGACAATTAATCTAAATTCATAACCATTGATTGAATTGTTTGAACTGTAATCAACATCTTTAAATTTGTGTGTGTTGTATTAATCTTTAAAGAGGAGGGAATGTTACATGCACATCACACTAATGTGAATAGCCCCCTTAAGAATTTCAACACTCATTCATGTGAGCAAGAAAAGATGGCCGCCAGCATATGAATAATCTCAGTTCGTGTTAGGTCAAAGACAAGTCTCTGTCCTTTCCTAAATGCTACAAAGAAGCATTACAGCGCTCGTGGCTACCGAACGCGTAGCAATCCGGATTACTGGGACGGGAAGAAAAAAACAGTGTGAGTGGCAAAGCCACAGGGGCCTTTACCATCTCGTGGAAAACGCTAATGTTTTTCTGTACATTTATGTACCGATTTGGTAGAAAAATTATATAGTGCATTACATGTTGTCAATATTGACCAATGAAAATGTGGAATTACTCACATAATGTTTGGATGATGTGACATCACACGTACTCACGAAGACAATTAGCAAAGGCAAGATGGTGACTTCCGCGGCGATAGTATCAATGAAGATTTTGTCCAGAAAGGCTCAGATTCTGAGCAAATCTCGCCAAATTTCGGGAAAATTTTCAGCTCAACATGCTGGGCAGTCAAAGGAGTGTTGGAAGGTAAAGATTATCTCGTAAACCTGCCCACAGGTTTCGGCAAAAGCGTTGTTTTTTTCCAAACCGCATATGTCACAACTGAATTCGGCAGTACCGATAGCTTGAAATATCCAGTTTTAGGCTCATGACGTGGGGACTCGCCAGTACAGCTGGAATGAGGTCCCTGACTTAGCAGAATTCAGTTTTAGGGCCAATACTTTCCATTTTTATTCAACTTACATGTAAACACTCCTCAAAGACTGGAGATATATCGTTTATACAGCAAAGGATATATATACTCAAAATGATAATGCAATCCAGCCGATTAGATAAAAAGAGGTATTTTCGGTGCAACTCCAACTGTGCATTTGTCAGGTCAACTGAATTGTGTCCTAAACCAACAGGAGGAATAATGGCTCATGATAGATATCCAGGAAACCAATGCAATTAAAGGCACTAGACTTTAATACCTTTGGCAAAAAGGAGTACTGCTTAACTTTTTTGGTCCTAAAAAAAGTGTTCTTTAAATGGAGGTGATGGGGTGGAGGTAGGCTAGCCTTTAGTCAAGTCCCACGCTCTTACCCGGACACGCGACGCACCCTTGATACTGGCACATAAAAAGACTAGCACAAGCAGCGAACCCGCAAGGTCCTTTACCATTTCGTGGAGAATGCTTATGTTTTTCTTCACATTTATCTACCGATTTGTTAGAGAAATTTTCATGCATAATGCATTACCCTTTGTGAATATTGACCAATAAAAATGTAGAATTACTAACAGCTGTTTAGACGATGTGATGTCACTCACACTCTAAAGAAATCAGAGCAAAGCAAGATGGCTGGCAGCCAATTGTGTGATGCCATTTGTCCAAGAAAAGCCTTTACCCATCCACAAACACACACACACAATCATGTGTTCATAGTCGATCGTGGACGTCCTATTGCCCCTCTTTTGTTTGTACTCTTAACTTTTTAGGAAAACTCCCATAGGTTTTGTACACGACCCCAATTGCGGACGTATGCTGAGAATCGTGGAGGATATTGTTCTCTTTCGTTCTCTGGTATTTTTCGTCCACGGTTTAAAAAGCTGAACATGTACAGACATGATTATGGTGTTAATCGAGGAAACACATGCAACATCATCGATGAATCGAGGACAGAAACCGAATCGAGGACTCCTCGGTTGGAAAATGTGTACAAAACCAATGAGAGCTGTTGCGTAAAAGTTAGGGTACAAACAAAGAAAAAGGGAAGAGGAACAAAAGAAAATCCTTGATTTACACCATAAACAAACGTGTCTGTGTGCGTGTGTGTAAAGCTACAGGTGAAGTTCCAATTCACAAAAGGACATTGCACTTAGTGACCTAGAAAATTCTTGATCACTCTCTCATGGACTAAGCACACAAACCTACATGTACTACAGAGGACCGTTTTGAACAAAAGACCTAACGACCGAGGACTGAAAGGATCTGTTGTTCTCCCTTTGTGTGTCAGTCCTCGGGGGCTATGTAGAACACGTACACACATCTGTGTAAACACCGGCAATTGTGGACCCCCCATTATTCTAATCCTCATTCCTTTGTATGTACTCTAACTTTTTAGCAACAGCTCTCATTGGTATTGTACACGATTTTCAATCGTGGACGTTCGGTCAATTGTGGACATATTGTTTGTGCTTTGACCCTTTTGTCCTAGGTCCAAGATTGCCAGTGTTTACACACGCATAGCCTACCACCTGGTAATGCATATTCATGAAAAAGTTTGCCAACTCAGCAATTGATTGGCTGCTCATGATCAGCTTAGGATCATGTGTTGACACAAAATTTGCAATGGGGCAATTCCAAGGTTACTCACGTTACGTTTTTGATATACTTTTGAGTTTCCTTGGGCCGTAATTACCATACTGAAAAGGTTTAATAACTGTTATCCCCATGTTAGATAGAGTAGACCTAGACCTGCCTAAGCACCAAAGATGACATCCAGAAAAATGTCTTACATGTATATATGAAACAAGACGCACAAAATCGGTTACTCACGTTACATTTTCGGACATAATAATAATAATAATAATAATAGTGGATATTTATAAAGCGCACGTATCCACCAGGACTGGTGCTCAAGGCACTACATCATTATTACCCCTGCTCATTGGGCACATGAAACATTCCAAATACCATCTCAGCTCCCTGGGGAGTGTACAGCTCGATGCAGCCTGTTAGGCGCAAGGAAGCTAATTCAATCACAATAACCATCTCTGCCCTCACAGATACCCATTTACTCCTGGGTGAAGAGAAGCAATGAGTGACAAACTGCCTTGCCCAAGGGCACACGCACAATGACCCCGCCAGGACTCGAACCCACAACCTGCAGCTTTATCCGCAGACCACGAATCAGTGCCCTTAACCACGAGGCCACAGTACTCCACATGCATAAAAAGCCAACATGCTTTGATCAAAAAGTGTCCTCATACAGGCAACCTGTGGACATTTCTTTTAAATGGATAAAAGACAATGCCATGGCGCACACATAATAAGAGTTCAACAAATCCTCCATTCCATTTTTTTGCAATCCACAAAAAACATGGTTACTCACGTTATGGTTACTCACTTTACAGTTCGTCCAACCCATCTGATAATCTTATGGCATGATTTTTTTTGACTAAACTATATAGACCGTGGGCCAGAAATCGTAGCGTGCAGAATCGTTTGGAGTTTTTGGTGGCAACTTTTTTTCTTTCCTAATGGACTCCTTTTGTGACACTGATTAATATTTTTGATGTTGCCGGCAGAAAACCCTGCAAACTAATGTGAAAATCAAGGTAGAAAATTGCCACTTTCCCGTCGCGTCGGCGATGTTTTTTTGAACGCCGATTGAGGGCGGTATGTTGCAACCTCGAATCAGCGCTTCGTAACCGATTTAGAAAATTGCGTTAATTTTCCCGGGGATGAGGATGTCAGGAGGAACATGGCGGCGCCCGTCGGCAGGACGTGCGTTTGCAACGTTGGCGAAGAAAGCGGTTAAATTTCACCATTTTCAGAGACGTGCTGGAAGACGTTTGTAACTTGTTGTCAGCAATGGCAAGAATTGGATGGAAAGGAGAGGGAAGTTGCCCAAAAAAGCAAAGATATAGCGAAAAACGAACGACCAAAGGCCGAGTACGGCTACCACTAGCCCGACTGCGTCTGGCCGTACAGTACTATCGCAAGCTCTGTAGTACGGCCAGACGCTGAATGCTTCCAAAAAGACTGAATTTTTTTGGCCGCTGATGTAGCGATTTTGCTACATCTTTCGATCGCGATTATCTTTTCATCCAGGACACAAATTTCCACAGTTAAGGTTCGTAGTCGTAGAGCAACTCATACCTTTTCGAAAAAACGTTCTTTGGTCTCAATATTTTCATCCATCTGGCCACAAGACGAATTTCAGTCATCAGATTCCACAAATATCGTCCCCCATGCGATACCCCCATGCGATTTCAAAATGGCGGCCGCGCTGTAATGTATGCATTATGCAGGCACGCCCGCGCAAACTCATGAATATGCATAAAAAGTCTGTGACGTATGACCTCGTGTTTTTGGACGTGCGTGCAGCGGGGCCGTACGTCCAAAAACACGAGGTCATACGTCACAAACTTTTTATGCATATTCATGAGTTTGCGCGGGCGCGCCTGCATATTGTATACATTACAGCGCGGCCGCCATTTTGAAATCGCATGGGGGATCGCATGGGGGACGATATTTGTGGAATCTGATGACTGAAATTCGTCTTGTGGCCAGATGGATGAAAATATTGAGACCAAAGAACGTTTTTTCGAAAAGGTATGAGTTGCTCTACGACTAAGAACCTTAACTTTGGAAATTTATGCCTTGGATGAAAAGATAATCGCGATCGAAAGATGTAGCAAAATCGCTACATCAGCGGCCAAAAAAATTCAGTCTTTTTGGAAGCATTCAGCGTCTGGCCGTACTACAGAGCTTGCGATAGTACTGTACGGCCAGACGCAGTCGGGCTAGGCTACCACCGTCATGACCGTACCGGCATTGCTAGTACCACTGCCAGATGTAAGTTTCCAATTCCAAACATGTCGAATGTTAATTGTTATCATCGTAGTTGGGGGGTAGGGCTATTTATACTATTTTAATACGTAACTGAAGTCATTTTTTAAAGCAAATAAATAGGTTGTGTTTGCTATTAGTAGGGCCTACATTGAAAATAAAATAGGATTGGACAAACATGACAATCTGACAATGATTGAGTATTTTGGGGGTAAGATAACCATATTTGGCCATCACTTGTCACCCTTTACAGTCAGAACATATGAAACTGGTCTTAAAATTTGGAATTGTGTTCTCAGTAAATACTTCAATATTTTCCCTGCTAAGTTTTAAGACTGATTTTACTTTCTGATGGCTGATAGGTCACTGAAGGGAAAAATTAGTGATGGCCAGATCTGGGAATCTTTCACTTATTTGTTTCACACCGGCTATCGTTACAGCAGCTGTAACGTAATTGTCAACCTCTGTTGTTAGTCTTTATAGCATTGTCTGGTTCTTGTAATACTCAATGTTGGGATCCATGGCTGTAAGAGCCAGACTATAGACAGGTTGGTTTTCGGACATTCTGTATTTTTCTTTGAAGAGCCACGGACATGAGGGATATCGATTACGAAGGGAAAATAATTAATTCTACTTCTACAAGAAGTATGATTTGATTACAAACATACTTTTAACTGAAACTTTCGGATCTCTATTATTTAAATCCAATCAGCCATTTCATTGCCAAATATTTCATCTGTCTCGTTCTCATTTCAACAGATTCTGCAATGTATCAAAAATAAAGCGAGCAAAACTGAGGATGGAAAAGAGCTCAACTAGTGAAGGAGGTGATGGCGCAGGAGATGTGGTAATCCCCCGCAAGAGAAGACGCACAGGAGAGAAAGAGCAAAGGACCAGGCATGCTCTACCAGTGGAGTGCATCATATGCAAGAAGAGCAAATGGATCCAGCCGCCATATGGACCGCGGAAAAAAGAGCCACTCACAAAGTGCGAATATGAAAAAGGTACAGTCATAATTACATGTACATGTATATAAAGTGTGACACCACCATAATGTCATATAAATGGAAAGACATTTCCACATAATTGTTGAAACCACTTTGAACCAGATTTTGTTTTCACTATATTTTTCAGGTGGACAACTTCTCAAGGCTGCTGAACTACTCAATGATGAATCCATCCTTCTTGATATTTAAGGTCAAGACATGGTGGCAATCGAAGTCCGGTATCACAGATCATGCCACAAGAATTACATCAAGGTAAGACATTGAAGCTATCACCAATGTTGTGTTACTCCCCCCCCCAAAAAAAAAAAATCAATGCAGAACCTTCTTTATCATAAAAAGTGGCTAGACGTTTGGATTATTTTCTGTTGATTTAGAAAATGGCAGCTAGTCAATGTGCAAGGTGATAATATTTTCCTATTTTATGGAATATTATTAAGTGTGTGACTAAAGTCAGATCACAGTAATAGTGCCCTTAATTGTAGGATATAGTGCCTTTAATTGTAGAAAATACTAGGATACTTAAAAAAATAATAAATAAATGGGCATGCCATCACATTATATTCATGTAAATTGGATAACTTAATATGCATGCAACTATCCTCCGAAACATTTCTTGTAAATGCAAGAAGGGACATTGCAAGTCACGAATTTGTTCTTGTGTGGCAGGCGACTTGCCGTGTACAGACTTGTGTCGTTGCAGTGATTGTGAGAACACCACTACTGAAGACATCGAATGCCTGTCCAGCGATGACGAAGAAAGTGACATTGAAGACGATGAATAGACACAGGGACTTATCGTAGTACGGAAAAGTTTACATACCAGTATTCATCATCAGCCATATTTATGTGTTTGCTCATTCTACATGTACTTGTAAATATGCATAGCTTTTTTTTGGCATGGTGTAGACAGCAGAAACGTGATTTGCCATCATGTCTTTCAGGAAGAATATTTCTTTGGTTTGTTTTTTACAGCAAATTTCCAGTTTCCAACAGTATATTTTTAGGCTTATGACAATTCCTCATCTACAAATAGTTCTTCCAGCTCCACCTTCTGTCGACCCAAGTTGATGCTTGAGACGAGCGCAACAGCTCCACACTTAAGTGAAAAACTCAATATATGTAATGCCTTGACAATCCATTCTTGCATAATTGCATACTTTATTACAATAATTATGACATATATGTATTTGGAATTATGGAAGTTCCAGGTCTAGACAGTTAATTTTTGTGTTAATGGCAAATTCAGGGATACCTTGAAGAATTTTTTTTAAGAAGAACATATTAAGTATTGCCAAAGATTTATTTGTTGCTTATTTATTAATTAATTACCACAAAATAAAACCTTTCCAATTAGGTCATTGTTGGAACCAAATACTCTATTTTAGGTAAATGACATAATTTGGTAATCTGCAAATAAGTCTTTGAACTTCATATGGTATGGAAAACTCGGTGATATCTTGAAACAAAAAAAATTGGGTGGTACAAAGTGTTGACTGTGGTCAACTTAGTGTTACTTTTTGATAGTTTGAGAATTAATTACCATTTATTGCTTGCATCAAGGACTTTATTTTAGGTAAATGAAATAAGTCAGTCTTCTCCAAATAGTTTTTCCTTCCATAAACATTTAAGATTAAAACTTAGTGCTGTTATAATCCAATTTGTTGCAAAATTGCACAATTAATTACCATAATTATGTAATTATGTTAAATTTGGAGACAGCTCATTTTGGATTAATGACATAAATGTACATGTAATTCAATACTTTCAGCCTCACATGCAAAATTTCAGTGATACCTTGAACAAACTATTTATTGGCATAAAAAACACTGAATATGGCCAAAGCGTTATTTTGTGCATAATTTCATATTGAATGATCACAACAATAAAACCATTAATATGATATTTTTCCTTGGCATCAATATAACAACTGTTTAAGGTTAGTTATATAATGCAGTCGTATACAATTACAGAAAAGGTCAGTCATGCCTTATATGGAAAAGTCAGTTACATGTATGCCTTCTGTGCCAATTGCAATAAAACATATATGAGCATATGAACATTGTTTTTGCATATTAATTAAAGTACATGTAATTAAGAAACCACCTTGTATATGAACCTACAAGTCTATAAAGTTAATAATCATTAATTATTCTAAGTGGGTGACGATCTGCATTTGAATCGGAGTAGACGTTTCTGAGAACTTTAAGGGGATGGATACCGCCATCGGTCGCTAGGAGCCCCTAATAGATTTTTGGGGGGGATCAAACTTTGGACGGGGATTGTGACTAAACGTGCCACTTAACAGCTCGGCAACAGGAAGAATTGAATTCAGTACCCTCGAATTGACAAAGAACAAGCATTTTTTTCTTGCCACCAAAATTTTTTAACGGACTTCATTTTCTAGGCGAGATAGGATTTCTGGCCCACGGTCTAATAATAGTTAGTATGTTTCTTCCCAATAGGCATCAGAACTACTAAAAAGTCTGACTTATATTTGCATTTTGGATCTCCAATGGCAAGTACCGGTACTCCAAGATAAAGGATTTCATCTGACATTATTCTGATACTATTACAGTGCATACTGATCCCCTATCAGGAATTTGTTGTTTCTTCTTAAGTCCTTATGTAGTTTAGTTTCTTTTAAACTAATGCTGAGCCATCAGAACAAACCTCTCATATTCTGAGAGTCTGCTAAAACTTAATGTATGGCACGATAGCACAGAATATAGGGTCCATGGGAATGCCACACTATCAGAGACCATGATGTGGAGAGAGGGTTCCAGGGCATACCACTGTACTGGTAGCTTAGTGTGAAGTGCCTACATGTAATGTAATTTAGCTTTTGTTCCAAATAAACATTTTTATTTCAATGTAGGGACGTACAGATGTCTTCCTTATTCCATTCAGCAACATAAAACTTGATAAAATACTTTACTTGGATTCAATTAAAATAAAATATGCTGCCTCGAAGACCATTTTGCACTATAAACAGGATAAAATATGCTTAAAAGTATCTGTAATGCTTGAGGTTCTTTGGTTTAAGGTAAACAGTTATCAATCAAATCAACGTTATCAAGCAAAAGTCAGTTTGGGTATAGTTTGGGTGACTTGGGATAAAAAAAACCTTGGTTACTCACGTTACATTTTTGGTTACTCACGTTACAAAAGTTCCTCACGTTACCAAATTTAGTTGCCTTTTATTCTTAAATGTGTGTATTAGTGTCAACAAAACACTTATATTTATAGCTTAGTGTGGGGTGCCTACATGTAATGTAATTTAGCTTTTGTTCCAAATAAACATTTTTATGTAGTTGCAACCTGCATACTCCAAGTCTGCGAACTGCCCGGAAGTCTGTTGTGTCACGAAACATTCAGTCTATACAACCTGCTTGCTTCATCGAGGATTTGAATGAAGTGTCATTCACCGAGAAATGCACTGTGAGCAACGCAGATCTGGCTGTCGGCAGCTACAACTCCATTCAGTGACAATTCGACCAAATACTCAATGGTACACCCAGAAAATAGCAGATGGAAAACTTCTTCGTAGGCAGCTTGAAAGGAAATGGCGATCTTCCAAGCTTGAAATACATCGACAGTTGTATCGCCAGCAATGTCAGCGAGTCCAATCGTTAGTTCGTGCTGCAAAAACAGTGTACAACTTGAAACGATTTGACAACTGCTCAGGTGACACGAAAAGACTGTTCAGAGTTGCAAGTGATCTTTTGAACAGAAAGCAGCCTTCCCCTCTTCCAACACATGTTTTCACTGAAGATCTAGCTACTCGTTTCAGCAACTCCTTCACCAGTAAGATAGAATCTATTCGTGCCAGTCTGCCAGTCATCGATCAAACATCTTCGTCTCGTAAAACTTGTGCAGTCTTAGACACTCTTGCTCCTGCATCTGCAGATGAAGTTCGCAACATCATGGCAAGGTCACCGGCAAAGTCATGTGAGTTAGACCCGATCCCTACCTCTTTTCTAAAAAAATGTATGTCTGCCATTACTCCAGTCATCACTGAGATCATCAATGTGAGCTTGGATACTGGAGTCGTTCCTGAAGTCCTAAAGAGAGCGATTGTTCGACCAACATTAAAGAAACCTGGTATGGACACAAATTCCTTGCAGAGTTACCGTCCAATATCCAACCTACCATATCTCTCCAAAGTCTTGGAACGTGTGGCATTCTCTCGTCTCTCAGATCATTTGCAGGAACATTCGCTTCTTGACAGCAATCAATCAGCATACCGTTCGAATCATAGCGTAGAAACACTTCTCACAAATTTAACGGACAACGTACTTCAACAAATGGATAATGGAAACATCACAGCCCTTGTTCTGCTTGACATGTCCTCAGCATTTGACACGGTAGACCATCGTATTCTGATCGATCAGTTATGCTCGTTGGGAGTCAGAGGAACAGCTTTGCAGTGGTTCATGTCCTATCTGTCAAATCGCTCTCAGGGTGTAGGCATCGGTAATGCAAAGTCTGAAGCTAGCCATCTTGCTTATGGTGTCCCCCAGGGATCAGTTGGTGGTCCTCTCTTGTTTTCGATATATCTTCAAACTGATGCGCACAACATCAAATACCATTGTTATGCCGATGACATACATCTGTATGTTTCTTTCCCACCATCTGCCATTGCAATGTCGTCCGCAGTAAAACAACTGGAGGCATGCATCAAAGACATCAACACGTGGATGGACTCTAGCGGTCTAAAACTCAACCACTTGAAGTCTGAACTCATTCTTCTGGGCTCAAAGCAAATGCTTGGCAAAGTGTATACGAAGGGTTTTCATGCCCAAGTGGGCACTAGCAGTATCTACTCATCTGCCAAAACTCGCAATCTTGGTGTCATCTTCGACACCAATATGTCCTTCCATGACCACGTTTCCCATGTGTCTAGGTCAATCAGATACCAACTTCGCAACCTTGGTTTTGTTCGCAAGTACCTGAGTCGGAATGCAACTGAACAACTAGTCCACGCCCTCATTTCTTTACTTCTTGATTTCTGCAACTCCATATTTGTAAGTCTCCCTCAACAACAGCTAAATAAACTGCAACGCCTCCAAAATTCCGTAGCCAGACTAGTCACCCTCACCAAGAAAGCATGTCACATAACACCTGTCCTTCAGTCTCTTCACTGGCTGCCCGTTGACAAACGCATCACCTTCAAAGTTCTAATGTTGGTCTACCACGCAGTCCATGGCTCCTCACCAGTCTACAAAACTCAATACAGGCATACCACCCCCCACGCAGGCTTCGATCATCAGACTCCTCCCTTCTTCAAGTTCCTAGATCCCGACACTCTTGAGGTGACCACAGCTTCTCTCACGCAGGCCCCACTCTCTGGAACAGTCTACCCCTCTCTATCCGTCAAGCTCCCTTTTCGATCTCCTTCAAACAAGAACTCAAAACCTACCTGTTCACACTCTAATCTCCTCTTCGGCTTGTACCTTGCAATTCATATGTCTTGGACCTAGCATTTATAATTTGTAGTTTGTCATTTATAATTGTTGTCATTTATAAATTTGTAGTTTGTACTTACTCATTGTATAGCGCCATGAGCGTCACCGAGTGATGGACCTGTTTGCGCTTAATAAGATGCCACTATTATTATTATTATTATTATTATTATTATATCTATGTTCATGCAAAGAATGATAATCCCAAATACCATTAGAAATGTTGGTGAGAAAAATCTTGTATATATCTTTTCGGTTACTCACGTTACATTGACCAAAAAAGGTATAAAATGCTAGTTTTTGACATCTAAAAATGGATGACGGCTGTGAATTGACATATTTTTCAGAGATTAAGACTATCATACATGCTAGAATTAATGTAATGATTGAAATATCTCTTATTGCATTAATAGCAATCAAGGTTTAAACTTTACTAAATCTTTTGAGTTCTTTGTAGTACAAAAATAATTTTCACTTTACAACACGATTTCTCAAAAAATGTTTGATAAAATTGGGTTTTCTTTGTTAATTTCTCATACTTGAATGTATAATCTGTAATAAAAATGTGAAACTGGGTTAAAAAATAAAACTATTTTTCTTAGCCATGTCCATCAAACCGTGGAATTGCCTAATGGCATTTTGTGCAATAAATCTTTACACATGAAACATATAGGCATGCATGTACAGTGTGTCTCCATAAAGTGGAATTCTACAATGAGACTTAAATAGCAAAAGCTTGTAAGTAGATTGTATGTATCACAGCTTATGTCTTATTGTGAACTGTATACGCTCAGTCAATTAATTTGATGTGTGACAAGTGTGAGCCTGTGGCAATTTCTTAGAAATTCTGAGAATAAAGCATTTGATCATTTCTTTTTAAAAAAATGTCTTAACTTCTGCCATTTTATTGTGTGGCAGGAACCAGTCTACATTGCTGCATTGATACGACGCATGTGCTTTCACCACCACAGAGCCTTTCAGATCGCATCGGAGGTGGGGGGGGGGGGGAATAAGGCGTCAATGGGGATGACCGTGACCCAATACCGGTACCTCCCCTGTTTGCTGCACTCTAATGGTATTAGGCAGGGAAAAACTGGAATTGTTTTTGTGTGTGTCTATTACAGTATAAGGGCCATCTCTGGAAATTGTGAACAATTTTGGGGGCAGTAGCAATTTTGTGTTTTGATGATGATGACAATGATGTTTTTAAAATGCTGTTTTCGTAATAATTTTGGTCACAGTGTTCATTAAGTTAGCATCTTTGCTGTTTTATATCAGTTCAAGTTGAAACAATGCAGGGATCCTTTCTCAATTATTCAAAGGGTTGGATTTCGCTTAGGTGTCGAAAATACATGCATTTTAATATATATTGTGCATCCCTTTTGTTTTTTAATTACTTAACATATTTCACCAAGGTCGATTTTGTTTGAATTTTTATGGGAGGTAGCTAGGATCCAAATAAACACATTGCCACCAAAATTTGCCTGTTACCTAAAATGTCAGGGTCCTTTTCAATTCTTTCTGGATTATTAGCTATATACATTGTAAATAGCTGCAAAATAAATGAAATATTCGAAACAGCTTGTGTTTG